ACTGGCTGACAAGTCTGCCCTTTATCCTGGAGGCTAAGAGAGGACTCCGAAGGGTTTTAAGCAGATAAGTATCGGAATCAAACTTGGTTCTAAATTAAGAAGCTCTCTATGAAGAGACATGAGGTGACTCATGGTATATATTGTTCAATGAAAGAAACCAAAGTGCAAAAGACAATCCATAATGTGCTACTTTTTGTGTAGTGAAAAGGAAAATAAGAAAATATCCATGTATCTGCTCACTGGTTCAAAAATAAACAGGAAGGATAAACTAGAAACTACAAGGGGTGAGTGGGAATAAGATGGAAAGGAGGGGGACGGGAACAGAGTAAAAAGAATGAGGGAAAGCCAGGCTTCTCTGAATGTACTTTTTAATATGGTTCTGACTTTTGAAACCACACTGAAAAAGAATCAATGGGATTGGAGAAAAAAACCCTACATTGAAATACAAACAGAAATGAATGAGAGTGGGGAAGAAGTAACCTAAGTAACTTGAAAATAGTATTTTGAGGATATGCTGTTGCTGAAGACAAAAGAACTATAAACAAATCTTGAACTCTATTTTGTTTTTCACGGAGATGTGGCTAGCAATTCTGAAAATTTCTGTGTATTTTAAAATTGACCAAATAAGTATACTATAGATGATGGAAACAAAGTTTGTTCTAGAAGGGAGTTTAAAAACATGGAATGAGTAGAGGCTACAATTGACACTAGTGCTGGACAGTAGTTGGAGGTATGAGTATGAACTCAGAGTTTTTAACATGGTTAGATGGATGGATGATGGATGGAAGGATGAATGGATGGATAGAAAGATAGGTAGATAGATAGCCAGACAGAGATGATGTGTGTGTATGCATGAATATATTTCCCACCTCTGTCCTGATAGGGCCTAGAGGCAATGACACCCCAGTAGCAATGAGCATAGCTAGCACACAAAGCTTGATTTCAAATACCATTCTCCACTGAAAAGAATCAGGGCTGTGGAGAAATGACTGATTTCAGGACTAGGACTGAGGAAGTACACGATGAGCCTGAAACATTTTATAGGACCGGAAAATAAAGATATGCTCAAGGAAGGATGGGAATATGTCTAAAGAACAAGGAATCACCTTGAGTGAGCTTCCCCTGGCCAAATCTGGGAGAATTTGAGAATTAAAACAAATAATGATAGTAATGGGTTATAACCCACTGAATAAAAGAAGAATCCATGAATATAAATATATATATGTAATGTACACTTATACTTTATATATTTTATATGTTTACAATATTAATTTATATTTTATATATTCATAGTATGTATAGTATTTATAATATAAATAAATATATATAATAAACTGATACGAAAAAAATAAAGGAGAAGAGAAAGCTGTCTTACAGTAGAATCCCAACTAATAAATATAGAAGGAATGATGGAATTAGAAATTTGCTATCATAGTAATAATTAATCCAAGCAAGAATCATCAGTATAGGCTAAAACTAGTGGATAAAAGTTAGATGAATAATTACAAAATTATAGCCACTTAAAGCAGGATAAGATCGAGTTCAGAAATCTATGACACAACACAAAGATTTTTGCACCCAACTGCTGTCAGCTGATTGTCTTAGTCATATTGCTAAGTTATGTATTTGCAATAGGAGGATAACAACAATAATTATTTATTGAGTGTCCATTGTGTGATAGGCATTGTGCTAGGTGGGGTTTGGGTTTTTTTGTTTGTTTGTCTTTTACCTATATTAACTCACTTAATCCTAACACTGCCTCAATGAGGTTTTTTTATGAGTATCCCCATTTTTGAGATGAAGAAGCCAAGATTCAAGAAGTGAAAAATTGGAGAATGGCTCATGGCCAAGTGGTTAAAGTTCCACATGCTCTTCTTCAGTGGCCCAGGTTCACGGGTTCAGATCCCGGGTGCGGACCTACACACCACTCATCAGCCATGCTGTGGAGGCACCCCACATACAAAGTAGAGGAAAACTGGCACAGATGTTAGCTCAGGGCGAATCTTCCTCACATACACAAAAAAAGAAATGAAAAATTTGTCTAAAGTCAAATAGCTGATAAGAGGCAGAACCAAGATTCCAATCCCCTGCTTCTGATTTCCAGTTCAATGGTGTTCTCTCACGTAGTGTGTCTTTTGGTCCCCTCAGAGCTCTGTGCTTCTGGGAGGATGCAGAATGATACAGTCAGAGAGGCATTCTCAAATGAAAGTATTGGGGGCTCCCTCTTTCTCCTCACCATATTTACTAAACAGTTTGTCTCATTTTCCTCATCTAAAAATAAGGAAGGTGGGTCAGCCCCGGTGGCCTAGTGGTTAAGTTTGGCATCACACTGCTTTGGCGGGCAGGGTTGAGTTCCCAGGCATGGACCTATACCACTCGTCTGTTATTGGCCATGCTGTCGTGGCGGCTCACAGACAAAAACAGGGGGATTGGCGGCAGGTGTTAGCTCAGGGTGAATCTTCCTCATAGGAAAAAACAAAATGGGGAAGGCAATGCTTAATTTACATGGCTGCTATGAGGACTAAATTAGAAAATATATACATAGCCTATAGCACAGTGTAAAATAAGTTTCCATTAAATAGTAGCAGCAGAATGGTAATAGCAGTTGTAATATTGAAATCCCTGGTATGAAGGAAAATGTTTCTAAAGGGCACCCCTCGCTTTTGGACTGAACTGATAATCAGAGGCCAGATCATAAGGAGCTTTGTGTATCATGAAAAGATTATGCCTTATTCTATAGGCAAGAGAAACTGCTGAAGAATTTTATTACCAAGAAGGATGTGATCTGGTTGGCAGTTTAGAGCAGACCAAGAGGAGGAGAGCAAAACCCAAGGCAGGGAGACCAGCAGGAGGCTGTTGTTAGAGACCAGGCAAGAAAAGATGAGGGTCTGAGTTAATGAACCAGCTGGCGGGATGGAGAGGAGGGAATTCACAATGGACAGTCACACCGCTGGCCTGGTGCCTGGGTTTGGCAGGAGAGAAAGAGGGACGACTTAAGCTGAGCATCAGGCCTCTGGCCTGGGTACTGGCTCTTCTCAGGGCACAACCAGGATGCAGAAGAGACGCAGGCTGGGGGCATGGGAAGGTGCCAATTTGGAGTGATTTGGGACGTACAAGAGAGTGACAGTAGAGAACTGAATATTCAGATCTGGACTGTGGGAGCTCAGGGCTGGAGCGGCATGCGTGGGAATCATTGAAGCTGCAGAGGTGGAGGAGATCCCTCAGGGAAGGGATGTAGAGTGAGGAGAGAGCTGAGGAGAGGATTTTGGAAACACCAGTATTTAATGATGGCAAAAAGAAGAGACAGAAGGAGACTGAGGAAGAACGCTCAGAAAGATGAGAGAGTTTCAGGGTAATTGTTTCCTGCCATGGCACAGGCTGCAGAGAGAGCAAATGAAGCAAGGCAGGCCTGAAAGGTGCCTGTTGGATTTGACAACTAGGTCCCTGGGGACCTTGCCGAGAGCAGGTGCCGAGGAGCTGAATGCAGTTGGCCGGTGACTTAAGGAAAGAATTGGACTTTTTAAAGAGAGAATTAGAACTTGGATGCTCCCAGGGATGCAGGCATCTTACTCCCTTGCCTTGTATTCCCACCTGCTGTTGGAGATCTCTGACTGGTGGAAGGTCTTCCTTATAGAGCCAGAATCTCCCTCTGGCATCTTCCGTCGACTCTAGTTCAGCCCTCCAGATGCACACCAACCAACACTTTATGCTCCTCCAGAGAACTATGCAAATCTGCCCCCTCACTGGGTCGTCTCTTCCAGCTCCTCCATCATTCCACATATGGTCCAGGCTCCCCAAACTTGCCTGGAAGTCTGACTCTCCACAGTGGATCCTGTTTTATTGAAACCGGGCTTGTTCTTTGGTAACGTCAGTCTTTATTTCTCCTCCTATTAGATTGGTGGCTTTCCAACATTTTTTTAACCTCAACCCAGAATAAGAAATACAGTTTAGGGCCCGGCCCTTTGGCTGAGTGGTTATGTTCACACGCTCCACTTCGGCGGCCCGGGATTCTCCAGTTCTGATCCTGGGCACGGATCTACACACTGCTCATCAAGCCATGCTGTGGTGGCATTCCACACAGAACAACTGGAATGACTTGCAACTAGGAAATATAACCATGTACAGGGGCTTTGGGGGAAAAAAAAAGAGGAAGATTGGCAACAGATGTTAGTTCAGGGCCAATCTTCCTCAAAAAAAAAAAAAAGAAATACATTTTACATTATGATCAGTATACACACATATGTATGTATAACTGAAAGGAGATGCACTCTTAATTCAACTCTATTTCATTCCTTTCTATCTTGCTTTTCTAGTTCATGTTTTTAAGCGCTAGTCTCAGCCCATCATGTTAATTTCACAACCCACTTATCTGATTTAATGACTGATGGTATGACTAACGGAGCCACCGTGCTAGGAGGGGCTGAAAGGAAAAGATTCTAAGTGTTTGTCTGAATCCATCCCCTTCCCTCGCTCTAACCGCTTTTTTATGGTTCTGAGAGGAAAGAGAACTGCTTTGAGGCTAGGATGTTAACCAGCCTTGGGGAGTATTTGAATTTCCAGAGTGACTCGTGCAAGGAAGGTAGGCAGCTCTGATGGAGGAATTTAGAAATCAGTGGAGGAGAGAATGCTCACCTTTCAAATCACACCACAAGGTACTGTCCCTGTACTTACTCATGAACCATCCGAAAGCCTGAGGCATTTTCACGGCTTGAGGATGTCCTTAGGTGGCCCTCCTACCACTTCTCACATAAGACATTTAAAATTTTCCAGAGTTTATGAGATTGGCTACCTATTCATATCACCTGACCCCCACCCCAGCCAGAGAACAGTCTGGAGTGTGCTGGTTTGATCTCTCTGCGTTCTTCAGGCTTCCCTGAGGGGATATCCCTCCCTTGAGACCCATCGCCTCCTATAGAACATTTGGGAGTTTTTTAATATAAAAAAGATGACTTATGTGCTCTAACACTCTCATTCACAATGTCTTTTCTACTTCTGCCCAGGAAGAGCAAGGATTTCTGAATTTACCTTGACTATAGGTAGAAGGATGTTGCCTGAGGAATAGCAGAGGTCTTCCCTCATCGGCTGAGAGGTGCCTGCTGCTGCCATAGACACTTGGGTCCTGGAGACGTCTCCTGGAGGGCCCGTCCATCGCATACCTGCAATGAGCCAGACCCTGGGCTGGGCCTCAGCTTCACCCTGGTGAACAAAACTCTGTCCCTGGCCTCAAGTGCTCACACCCAGCTTAAAGATGAGTGAAGAACGCTGGGTCTCCCTCACCCCAGAAGAATTTAACCAACTCCAGAAATATTCAGAATGTGAGTAAATGGACTGAGCCATCTGGGGTGGGATTTCCTCTTGGTTGGGGAGAACATTTCTGGAGAGCAGAGCAATACGATCATTGCAAAGGCACAGAGAGGGAGATGGGGACTGACAGCTTGTATTTCCTTATAAACACACAATTAGTGTCTTTAAACATAAAAACACAAAGATCTTTACACTCTATAAATGATACATACCCGCCATAGAAATTTTGAATATACAGGAGGAAAAAATAAAGAGTAAAAGTCACAGCTAACCTCTATGAATATTTTGGAACACTCCCCTCCTGTGCATATTGCTTTACGTGGTTGAGTTCCTAAATATACCTTTGTTTTTTAGCCTGAGTTTTCCACAAGACATAAAATTGTAAGCATTTTCTCAGATCACTAAAACCTCTTTATAGCAGAATTTTTGAAGGGCTGCAGGCTGCATGGTTACAATGTTACTCAATCGTTTACTGTCTATACGTTTGTGTTTGGACCCAAGGCCATCTTTCGGTAAGATGCAGAATTCTGATGCGTGTCTTTCTTGACTTCGTTCTAGAAAAGCCAGGGCTTTTGCTTGAGGCTTTTGATTTCATTAGTTGCATCCAGGAATGATTTCAGACGTAAAGACACAGTGGTGGCGAGGCCGACGTTCACACAGCTGTGCCCCCCAACAGGCCACTCCTAATCCTGACAGTGATGAGAATCTGCCCAGGCTGTGGTAGAACACCAACTGACCGCTGCACTCCACACACACAGAATGACCACCCAGATTGTGCAGTGGCTCCGACTTTTTGCAGAGCCCTTTGCCTTGCAGAGCCCCCAGCTGCACTGCCGGCCCCACCCTTTTATTCTAGTGTCTCTCCCTTCACGTTAGTTGTACATGTGCTTTTGTAAATCACTTGGCCTGCCATGTGTTGACCTGCCCTATAGAGCTTTCCCGGGTCGTCCTCCAAAAGCCCTTTTGGCAGCCTGCCCCCTCCCGCAGGCAGGCAGCCCTTGTCCACAGCATTGGTCGAGGAGTCGCAGGATTGGGCTCAAGTGTCAGCTCTGACTCTTGCTCTCTGTGATGTGACAGCCCTTCACCCTCTGGAACCTCAGTGTCCTCTCCTCCAAAATGATAGAGTTGGACTAGATGATCTCTTCCTATGATCACTTCCAGATCCCATGACTCCATATGCTCCCCAAGGTCAACAGGGGCCCCTTAGGGCTACTGGCCAGTCTCTCTCTCAGTACCCTGGAGCCCATGGCCTCTTGTCTGACCACAATGGGTTTGGAGAAACTCATAATATACTGACAAGGAGCAAGGAATCACCCTCCAGGGTAAACTCCATTTAATTCAGCTTGCTCAGTAGGTCAGCAAAGTACCAGGCCCTGTCAGGGATGAAAAAGAAGCACAAAGAAAAAGCTTGCCCTTGAGGAATCAGAATCTTGTTAGGGACTCAGAAATGTGCCCATCACACAAGCAGAGAACGGGTTTAAGGCAGCGGGCAAACACCTCTGGCACAGCTGGCTAAACTGAGCCATAAACGAGAAGGGAATTTAAAGCTGGGGAAATTGATATGGGGAGGTCTATTAGTTTCTAGGCTATTGTGACAAAGTACTACAACCTAGGTGGCTTAGAACAACAGAAAGTGTCTCACAGTTCTGGAGGCTGGACATCCAAAATCAAAGTGTTGGCAGAGTTGGCTCCTTCTACTGGCTGTGAAGGAAGAAGCTGCTCCAGGCCTGTCTCCTTGGCTTATCGATGGCTGTCTTCTCTGTGTCTCTTCACATGGTGTTCTCCCTGTATGCATGTCTCAGTGTCCAAATTTCCCTTTTTATATGGACACACTTATATTGGATTGGACCAACCCTACTCCAGTGTGACCTCGTCTTAACTAATTAACTCTGTGATGACCCTATTTCCAAATAAGGGAACATTCTGAGGTACCAGGGGTTAGGATTTCAACTTATGAATTTGGGGGAGATATAATTTAACCTATAACAGAGGATTTAACTGGATGAACTCTAGGAAGGAAAGAAGTTTAAAACGTGAGCAGTGAATGGTGGAGGAGGGGTGTAGAAACAATGGAAGCAGCAGTAGAGGGGCAGGAAGGGAGAGAGTGTGTATAGGGTGGTAAGGAGAACTTCTGGGCTAGATGGAGAGAAGAAGCAGGAGGAGGAGGAGGAGGACACAGAAGGGATGGGGACAGCAGGAGGCCTTGGGTTATGAATGTCAAAGTGTGGCCTTTGGACTAAGGTGACAAAATTTAAAGACATAAATCTGGTGGCTATGTTCAAGGTGGCCTGGATGAGGAAGCTACCAGATCAGGGAGCTCAGGTGGGGTCGTTTGCATTAAATCTAGTCCAAGCTGAGGACCAAAGCTAAGATGGTAAATGTGGTAAGGAACAAATGCTAGTTTGTGGAAAATTGTGGTGGAAGAATCATCAAAGCTTATGGAACAAAAGAAAGCCAGCAAAGATACTCAAAGCCCATGAATCTGTGGAAAATGATGACCTTAGGATGCACAGCTGGTGGGCACCGTTTGGGAATGTTGATTTTGAGATGGTGAAGACACATCCACGTATGCATTCATAAGTGCCAGGCCCCAGGGAACCAGCATGAATGATGCAGTGCCTGCCCTCAAAGAGCCCACAGCCTAGTGGGAAAGACAGATAGGACTCAAACAATGATGCTCAGTACGACAGGTGGTAAAGAGTGGGGAACACAAAGGAGGAGACCTAGCCCAGCCTGGTGAGAGAATTCCTCATATAGGTGTTGTTTCCAGACTCCAGAAACACTAGAAGGAGGGAGAAAGGAGAGGGCATTCCAGGCAGAGGAAGTGGCTTGGGCAAGACAGGGAGGTGAGAGAGTCATCAAGGTAGCTTCTGAGAACCACAAGCAGTTCTGGGCTGGGAGCGTAGAGCGCATGTTGGTGGGTGGTGTGGGGGCAGTCAGGGCAAGAAGTGGAAAGATAAGTAGGACCCCATCCCAGGGATGCTGCTTTCCAAGTGAGACGTCACGTGCGCCCCGGGAGGGTTGTGGCGGGATGTGGGTGGAGATGAGGGGTAAGACTCCAGCTTTGACTTGGGAATCCTTGTGTGGAGACAGCAAGGAAAGAAAAAAATAGGAATGAAGTCACTTCAGAGAGCAAGAATGTGAGGAGAGAAATGAGAGGATGGAGAGTGGGCCTTAGTGTGTGCCTCCACTTGGGGGTCAGAGAAAGAGGAGGCAGAAGAAGACACAGAGAGAAGAACTAGAAAGACAACTAGGGAAAAAAGACTACAGGATTGAGGGAGCGAAGGGCTGGAGGGGTCCAAATGTGGCAGCGCAATCAAGGAGTCAAGGGGTGAAAAGAAACCAGAGTATTTGGTAGGAAATGGCTCCTTTGTGGTTTGGGTCTTTTTTCCAACCATCAGCTTTCTTCTCCTCTGACCTTTCCTCATTTTGTCCATGTCCCAGGACTGGACAAGGGGTGCTAGCTCTGTTGTCCTAACAGGAGAGGGAAAAAAAGATACAATTCTTGGAAAATGATTAAGCCTCTGAGGAAACCCTGAAAAAGGCACTTCTACCAATTTTAGACACATTCTGGTTTTCAGTCAGATTGCGTTGCCATAGCAACTGCTCTTCCTTAACCATACAAACAGGAGCTTTACAACAGCAGAGTAGCTGAAGTGTACGGCCTGAGAATTCGGAACTTTCTCCAGTGGGATTACCAGGTAGGAGAGGCCAAGGATTTCGAGACAAGAGGCTCTTGGTATGTTCTGTTTACATAGCATAAACCCTGCACCTTCTCTGGTGGCCTTTTATTTGGGGAGAAGCCATGTTAAAACTGCCCTTAGAGACATATATATTTATTTTATATGTATACATACGTACATAAACACATATATATTTAAATATATATATAGTTTACAGTAACCTTAATGTGGATCAATAGTATAAAATATTTGTCAAAAAAGGTAATGAAATATTAAGAAATTTTTGTTACAAAATAAAAACAAGCATAATTTTGAAAAACAGAAAGATGATATTTAAAGTTACCCATGACCCTATCTCCCAGTGATAACCACTACTAACATGTTTGTATATAAATATAAATATTAAAATACACATACACATAAACAATTATACATATTTAAAAACCAAACATGTTTGACTATTTTGCATGCTGTTTTCTTTACCCTGATGATATGTTTCAGTTATCTACTGTTGCATCAAAACAACTTCAAAACTTGGTGGGTTAAAACAACCATTTTGTTTTTTCCCACAATTCTGTGCCTCAGGAATCTGGCCAGGGCACAGCAGGGGTGGCTAGCCCCTGCCCTAAAATGTTTGGGGCTTCAGGTGGGATGACTCACATGAGCCAGCATGGCTTATGTGCTCACATGATGGTACCTCAGTCTCCCTCCATGGGACCTCTTTTGCCAAGCACTTTATCATCTCCAAGGGCCTCACCAAGTGGCCTCTCTCTCCAGCAAAGTAGTCTGGATTTCTTGCATGTGGCTCAGAGCTCCAAAAGCAGAAGAGCAGCAGCTTCTGGGCCTTTTTAACCCCTGGGATCATAGGTCCTAGAATGGAACTCTGTCCTCATCCAGTTGGTCAAAGCAATCACAGGCCTGGCCTGGGTTCAATGGGCCAGAGGAATGGACCCCATATCTCACACGGGGAGGGGAAGACTGATGATGGCCATCTCTGAAGACCAGCTAGCACACAATGTATCATGAAGTGTTCTCTATCATTTAATACTTAGAAGAAGCATGGTTTTCGGCGGTTTCAGAGAATTCTTTTGAATACATATACATTATTTTATTTAACCAAACCACTGATTGTCACCTAAGGCTATATTAATAGACTAATAATGTCTAGTAAGGCAAACTGATATCTACATTCTACCCAACTCTGTTCAGACTTCTCTAGAAAACTGAATTTATTTCTGGGCGCTATAGTTTACAGTGAATATGGACAAACCGGAACTTGTTTGAGGAGTACCATCAGCATAGTGAAGGACCTCACAGCCTGGTTATAA